TGAAAGAGAAATGCCCCCCATAGGCACAGGTATTTGAACACTTGGCTCCCAATTGGTGGTGCTGTTTGGGGGTTAAGGTGGTACAGCCTTGCTGGAGGAAGTACATCCCTAGGGGCAGGCTTTCAGGCTGTATATTCTCACCCTACAGTTCCTCTTTTCTGACTGTGCTGCCGTTGAGGGTGTGAGTTCTCAGCTTCCTGCTCCAGTCTCCAGACCTGCTGCTGTCATGCCTTGATGGACTCTTAACCCTCTGGAACCATGAGCCCAAATAAACTCTCTCTTCCTTGAGTTGCCTTTGGTCATGGTGTTTTATCACAGTAACAGAAAAGCAGCTAACCCACCCAGTACATATAAAGAGCTGAACTCTGAAAACAAAGAAGACAGCAAGAGCAACAAAACCTCCCAATTAAAAAGTGAACCGGTAAGAAGGTGTGCAGATCGCAAACAAGCAAATGAAAAGTTCAACACCTTTAGCCATTAGGAAATGCACATTAAAGCCATGATGAGCTAGAACTATATGGCTCTTAGACCAGGTGGGGTGTGGAGACACGCACATTCTCAGCAATACAAAGAAAACTATTGATGGATACAACTTGAGTCACTCTCCCAGAGAACTGTGCTAAGTGAAAAAAGCCAGCCTAGACACGCATGCTGTATGGTTCCACCTATATCAAATTCTGGAAATGGCAGGATTCTAGAAATGAAGAACAGATTGGTGGTCACCAAGGACCAGAGGAGGTCAAGGAGAAAGTGTATATAACTCTAAAACAGCAAAAGAAGGGATCCACTGTGCACTGTGACTAGGGAGCACCCTGGTCCTGATATTGTACCACAGCTGAACTAATTTTCTAATATTGGGGGAAACTGACTAAAGACAATTTAACTCCTCCCATCTCTCTGTATGTATTATGGTTTAATTAAATCTATAAGTATCATACAATTCTTAATTAATTTAAAATCAAAGGATAATTAAAGCAGGGAAGGATCCAAGAAAATGACAGGATGTGATGAGGACTGAGGCTTATTAGAGACAATGAGTGGGGGCTGAGGAGGTGACACTGGAGGTGAGAAGTAAACAGTTGGGCTGGGAGCCTGGGAAATGCTTAGATAGTAGAGAGTCCCGGGCTCCTGGGTGGTGGCTGGAATGTGCAATGCTGAGCTAGTTCAGGGTAGTACTTCCTGTGATTGAAGGTGCTGCATGAACAGTAGATGGGGTGTGGACATGGTCTACAGATCAGTCTGCCTTTGTGTCTGCCCAGCAGTTTCTGTTTGCCTCTGCACCATCCCTGCAGCCTGTGCTCCAACCCTGCAGCCTCTGTTCCATCCCTGCAGCCTCTGCTCCATCCCTGTAGTCTCTGTTCCATCCCTGCAGCCTCTGCTCCATCCCTGTAGTCTCTGTTCCATCCCTGCTGCCTCTGTTCCATCCCTGTATTCTCTGTTCTATCCCCACACCCTAGGCTCCATCCCTACATCCTAGGCCCCATCCCTATATCCTAGGCTCCATCACTACATCCTAGGCCCCATCCCTATATCTTAGGCTCCATCCCTACATCCTAGGTTCCATTACTACACCCTAGGCTTCATCCCTATATCCTAGGTTCCATCCCTAAAGCCTAGGCTCCATACCTACTTCCTAGGCTCCCATCCCTATATCCTAGGTTCTATCCCTACAGCCTAGGTTCCATCTCTACATCCTAGGCTCCATCCCTGCAGCCTAGGTTTCATCCCTATATCCTAGGCTCCCATCCCCACATCCTAAGATACATCGCTACATCCTAGGCTATAGCCTAGGCTCCAGCCCTATATCCTAGGCTCTCTATGCCTACAGCCTAGGCTCCATCCCTACATCTTAGGCTCCATTCCTACATCCTAGGCTTCATCCCCACACCTTAGGCTCCATCCCTACAGCCTAGACTCCATCTCTATAGCCTAGGCTTCATCCCTACATCCTAGGCTCCATCCCTACATCCTAGGCTCCATCCCTGCAGCCCAGGCTCCATCTCTGTAACCTAGGCACCCTATTCCTACAGCTAGGCTCTATCCCTACATTCTAGTCTCCATCCCTATATCCTAGGATCCCATCCCTACATCCCAGGCTCCCATCCCTACATCCTAGGTTCTATCCCTACAGCCTAGGCTCCATACCTACTTCCTAGGCTCCCATCCCTACAGCCTAGGCTTCATCCCTGTACCCTAAGCTCCATCCCTACATCTTAGTCTCCACCCTACACCCTAGGGTTCATCCCTATAGTCTAGACTGCATCCCTACATCCTAGACTCCATCCCTGAAGCCTAGGCTCCATCCCTATAGCTTTGGATCATTGCTGTGATAAAGCACTATGTATGAACAACAGCAAACTGGGAGGAAAGGGTTTAGTTCATCTTACTCTTCCAGGAAACAGCTCATCACTAGGAGAAGTCAGGACAGGAACTCAAGCAGAGCTGGAACTGGAGGCAGGAACTAAAGACAAAGCCATGGTGGAGTGCTGTTTACTGGCTCACTCCTCATGGATTGCTCAGCCTTCTTTCTTAGACCACCCAGGACTACTTTGCAGGGGTGATACTGCCACATCAATCAATAATTAAGAAAATGTACCCATAGGTTTGCCTACGTGACAGTCTTACAGAGGCACTTCCTCAATTGTGGTCCCCCCTTCTCAGGTAACTCTAACTTGTGTCAAGTTGACAGTAAACTAGCCAGGACAATCCCTGTGACCTAGGCACCATCCCCAGCCTAGGCATCATTCCTACAGACTAGGCTCCCTCCCTTCAACCTTTTTGCTTTGCTCAGATCTCTGCCTGCAGACTTTCTGCTTTATCCTTTGGCTGGAGTAAAGGCTTAGTTAAAGTTAGTATTTCTGGATGTAAGGACTAAAAATTTACCTCAAAACTAACTTAGGCAAAAGAAGGTGTTTACACAGATAAGTAAATTAGGGCTTCTGTTGCCAGTGGCAGAAACCTAATATGAACTGACTGATGGGGAAAAATCCAAAGAAAAGGATCTGGGTTCCCATGAGCGACAGGTTCAAGGACAATAGCATCGGCTCCTTAATGCCTCTGCTTTCTCCTGGGCCAGCTCTTAAGGCTCAGGTTGGGTGGTGGCAAGATGGTCCCCAGCAGTTCCTGGCAGACAGCTCATCAGCTCAGCAGTCCAGGAGAGATATGAGCTCTTCTCCATAGCTCCAGCCAAAGTTCTGAGATGGTATCTCCTGATCCAGACCTAGGCAGTGGGCCATCCCTAAGCCAAGGGCTGAAGCAACAGGAAGCAACACTTTGATTGGCCAGGCCTAGTCAGGTGCTCATCCCTAGAGGTTGAAGGCAGGCCAGATCCACCTAACCAATGTGGCCTGAGAGTATAGAAGTTCTCTTATCAGAAGCAGGAATGGACACTGGGCAGGCCAAACTAACACACTCCAAAATTCTCCAAACAAATATGTGTCTTCATTCTTAAACCTCAGGTTGTACATTTCCATCATGAGACATCCCAGACTAAGCTGGCATTTCAGCTCCATTGCTTAGGAAAGCACTTGATTGGATCAGCTTTGGCCACAGTCATCTATAATCTCTCTCTCTCTTTCTCTACTCTGTTTCTCCCTCCCTCCTCCCCTCCCTCCCTCCCTCCCTTCCTCCCTCTGTCTCTCTCTGTGTCTCTGTCTCTGTCTCCCCCCACCCATGTGTGTGTGTGTGTGTGTGTGTGTGTGTGTGTGTGTGTGTGCGCAACACATTGAATACTTTAATGGGCATGGAAGTCCTTGGAGAGGCTGACACCTTAAAAATGTCTATTATAGACACCCCAGGCTTCTAGAAGATCTAAATTAGCTCCAAAAGGTGTGAGGAATCTATTAATGGGTTAGGCATGAACGGAAAGAGGTGATTATTGAAGATCCATTTGAGAAAGGTCAAATCTACAGACTTTTCCTTTACGTTCCTTCTGGGGTTTGCTGAGGCTGTTGTCAAGAGGGAGGCAGGGCTGCCCTGATAACAGGGAACTAGGGATGACAATATTTAGAGAGCTACAGGTAGGCTGTAGGCAGGGGGAAACCTGCCGCTCTCAGGCACTGTGGAAGGAGCCCATGAAATGAGACCAGAAGAGATCAGTAGCCTGGATGGAAATCAGGCCGGTGAGAACTGGAGCCAGGCGGGTTCCCCCGACTCCTGGTACTCAATGGGAGTGTACAGTCCAGGTCAGAGGAATCAGGCAGGAGGCCACTTCTACAAAGTAAGGCTGCAGTTAGAGTAGGTTCTCTGGCTTTGGGGTGCACTCATCAGGTAGAGCAGCCAAGCAGCCCCTCTAGAGGAGGGAAGGTAACAGAGGAGACAGCTGAGCAGTCATCAGAGCTTCATCTCCCAGAGGGAGAGCTGGTAGACTGAGTCATAAAGAAGCGGGAGTAAGAATGCCTGCCCAGGTGAGACAGTAGTGACAGTGAGCCTTTCCTGGGTGCCTCTGTGTGCCAGCCACAAGTCTGGTGTGTTAATTCCTGCAACGACCATGCTGTCCACAAGACTGGCTGTGTGGAGTGCGTGGCACTGAGGTCAAGTGTATTTTCCAGGGGCATGAGAGCAAAAGCAACTTAACCCTCACGCTAAACATGCCCCACCTCCTTCTCCAGCATCAATGTCAGTATCTTCAATCATCCCCACTCGAGCATCCCTGCCTCCCACAGTGTGTTCCTGTATCCTGCTGCCTCGTGTCTTTATAGCTTTGTATGTACTGGTCCCTCTTCCCAGAATGTTCTTCTCTGGCCAGGACTTCTTCATCTTACCAGGACCAGTATGGTCATCACTGAATTCTGGATAACTGTCCCTGATTCCCTCTCCTTGCTCTCACAATAATGTGTCTTTGTCACAACGTGAAGACCACTGTCATTCTCCTGGATTATAGTGGAGTGGGAACAAGTCTTAGGGCCTGTAGCTGTGCTAGGTAGACAAATGGTGCATGGATGAGGCTCCTTGTCCCTGCCCACCCTCACTGTGGCATCTTTCTCCTGGTCTCTTGGCAGCTTGGCCTGGGGTTCGTTTACCTGCTGCATGGCGGCGTCTGTCACTACGCTCAACTCCTACACCAAGACAGTCATTGAGTTCCGGCACAAGCGCAAGGTCTTTGAGCAGGGTTACCGGGAGGAGCCGACCTTCATAGACCCCGAGGCCATCAAGTACTTCCGGGAGAGGTCAGTGCATACATGCTCACATCTGGCTAGTGCTAGGATTCTGAAGGCCAGGGCCTGACCTCAGTAGCCCAAAGACCCCATTCAAGACTGGAGCAAATGGTCTGACTGAGATGATCTTGGATCTGGGACAGGCTGGGTAAGAGAGAGTATGGACTTCTGGATTTCTGGGACATCAAATGTTTTGTGGGCATAAGATTGCCTAGGACTGGGTTGGAGAGATGGCTCAGAGGTTAAGAGGTTAAGCTGATCCTCCAGAGGTCCTGAGTTCAGTTCCCAGCAACCACATGGTGGCTCATAACCATCTGAAATGAGATCTGGTGTGCAGGGACACATGCAGGCAGAACACTATACATAATAAATAATCTTTTAAAAAGAGATTGCTTAGGACTTATGTGATCAATTATGGGAAAGTCAAAAAGGAACATGTGAGTGGTAGCTGTTTAAGCCCTGGGCAACTTTAGTTATGATCAGAAGAAGGCTGAACCATGGATGGATGGATGGATGGATGGATGGATGGATGGATGGATGGATGGATGATAGCTGAATGCTTGGGTGGGTAGATTGGCAGTTGAATGGTTAAAATCTGGATAAGTAGGTAAATAAGTAGATGGTAGCAGATGGATGGGTAGATGAATGAGTATATGAACAGATAAGTGAATGAGTGGGTAGATAAGGAGATGACAAATGAGTAGATGGATGAATAGATAGGTAAGTGTTGGATAGGTATACAGGTGAATGGGAGGATGGATGGATAGACAGATAGGTAACTTGTTGGATGAATAGATGGATAATTGAGTGATTGGATTATTAGGTGATTGGATGGATGGATGGATAATCAGGTAGGTGATATATAGACAGGCAAATGGGTAGATGAGTTAGATGGATACATCTATGGAAGGAGTAATACATGGCACAATAGGTAGGTATGTGTGTGGAGGATGGATGTCAGGATTTTAAAAGCTGGAGACCCCGTTATGCTGGACTCCTCTCAACTGTTCTTCTGAAGGCCCTCAGAGCATCAGCTGGGGGAACCCTGGTATTTGGGGTGTCCTCTATCCAGCCTCAGTTCAGTGGTTCTGAGTCCACCTTCTTCTTTCTTCCTATGTCCTAGCTCTATCCAAAGTCACTCCTGTGGGCTGGCTACTACCTGCTGCTGTGCCTGGCTTTAGCTGCTGGAATCTCTTCTGGGCCATGAAAGGCCCTGCCCTCACTACCACCTCCTGCATGCCCAGGAAGCAGGCCCCACCCTCATGGCCAGTGCTGCCCCCTCTGTCCACCTCCTAGGCTGGCAGGGGCTGATAACAGCAGAGGCAAAGGCAGAGATACTCTGTCTCCCGTCCTGGCCACGCACAGCCCATCCTGCCTGAGCTCCTCTGCTGTGGGAGTCTAAGAAGAGCAGATCTGGGCCTGGGGTCTCCACTCTCAGTGCTTTCCCTGGGCGCTTCTGTTTTCCCCCCAGTGCTGGGGGTAGAATCCAAGGCCTCATGTATGCTAACACCATTCTCCCACTGAGCTTCACCACAGCCCACACCACCTTCCCCTGAGTGGAGGCCTAGACAGAGCCAGCCAGCAATGGCTGCCTCACATAGCTGGGCCAGGTCCTGTGTCTAGGCATCTAGCAGCATGCTTGTGACCTCCCAGTGAGCATTGTTTGCTTCATTTGATAGACGAGACTCAGAGATGTAAAGACATTTATTTAAAACCACACAGTAATGGAGGAAATGGGCCCAGGTCTGTGCAGCTCAAAGTTTAAACCTTTCCAGGCTGACCACATCCCCGCAGATCAGGCCACTCAGGGGAAGAAGCAGACTTAACATCAAACCCAGGCACCTGCTTGTGTCCACACAAGTGTTCTCAAACCATGGACATGTTTGCCCAGTGCTCACAGACGTGTGTATCTGGGGGTGGGAGTGGGGCTCTTACTGCAGGTATGTGGGACTCTTTGTGACTCAGGAGTCAGCCTTCTCAAGGGCATGGTGCCTGCTAGAGTGTCCAGGAGGCTGTCAGGAGTGGTGGACAAAGGCCTGGGCCTCCCCCCATAGGAGGAACTACTGCACCTAGCGTGCTCTCAGTGGAACCCGAGCCCTGAGTGGGAGCCTGCCCATGAGCACGCCTTTCCTGATCTCTCCCTTCTTGTCCCCTTTCTCTTCTCCTTGTGTTTCTTGCAACCACCTTCTAGGTGAGCCCTGTACCCAGTCCTTGAGTGCAGGGTGAGGAGTGAGGGAAGGATGAGGTAAAAAGCAATACTTTCAGTGGGTGGAGCTGGGTCTCCCCAGGGGAATGCCCTCAGCGTATGCAGAGGACCAGAGGGGAAAGGCTGGGCAATGAGGCCCTTTCAGGCAGAACATGTATACCACATGGAGTGGAGGGCGGGCCCCTCTCTGATTATTCCAGACCTTTCCTCTGCCTCATCCTTTCTCCCATGGGCACTCTAAGACTTCCTTATCCCAGGGCTTTATACTCTGGTGCTCCATTTGGGGTGCACATCAGCTCACCCATCTTTCTGGTCACTTCTCTGCATGTGTGCCCCACATACCTATGCTGGGGCTAGTATCACCTGGTGCCACTCACAGTACCTGAACCCCCAGGATTGTACCAGAAACCTAGTAGGAACTCATGGGGTGCTTTCCTGGTGATCCGGTGATCTTTGAGAAGTCTGGATGCTGCCTCCCTCCCTTTTGCTTGGCATTTAGCTCCAGCCTCGTTGTCTGCAGACAGTGTCCTGGTAGGGAGGAGGCTGTTCATTCCCAGCACAGTCAGGAGCTTGTCCCAGCCCAGGCATCAGTAGCCAGGACTGGAAGGGGGCAACACTCAGTGCTTAGAGCTGTGGTGAAGGGCCTGAAGCCCCCGGTGCCCCATTAACACTGAGACTGCTTGTCACACTTCGATAGGATCCATCTGGGGCTTGCACCCTGCATTGCTGAGGGAGCAGCAGCTCAGACCATGTGCACCTCACCCAGGCAGCAGCTTCTTCTCATCAAGCCACAGTTCCTGCAGCCCCGGATTGCTCAGGCCCACGATGAGTGCTTCGCAGCATATGTGCGGAATATCACTTTGCACATTCATAACTTAACATTATGCAGAGGTTCATCAAATTTGATTTCCCTTCCCTCCGAGGAGAGTGTTTCAGCTCTGCTGCTCTGTTCTATTTTCTTCCTTTTTTTTTTTTTTTTTTTTTTGTTCTGCTCTTTGCCTACAAGCAGCTCAGAGCACATGGCTTTGTTGCTTGGCTTTCGCAGGGCAGGGCAGCTGAGAGCAGGACTGGAAGCCCCCGGCAGTGAGACACACAGAAGGAAGACCGATGGGAAGCAGAGGGTGTCATGGGCTGATTTGTTCCTTTATTTCTGTGTGACCTGGCTCTAGGCACCAAACAACTCTGGGCTTGTGTCTTCTGCACACGAAGGAAGAATCCAGAGCGCTTGGCATCTGGGAATGATGATGGTTTGTTCCCCTGTCGTATCCTGGGTCCAGGGCCTGGCATGCAAAGGCTGGTGTGTGTGTGTGTGTGTGTGTGTGTGTGTGTGTGTGTGTGTGTGTGTGTATGTGTGTATCCCTGTCCCTTCTCCTAATGGCCTTGTTGGGCCTCCGAGTGCAGCAACCCCCTGTGATGGAGGCAGGAAAGTGCTCCAGATGGATCACTGATGATTTTGCCACAGCTCGACCTGACCCATACACCCTAAACACCCCAAATGTGACTCCATTGATTCCCACTGCATCTCTAGGAGGTGTGGGTCAAAATGTCATCCCCATTCTACAGATGCCAAGTTGAGGCACAGAGACATTCAGTGATTTGTCCAAGGCCATGCCGCTGGCTAGTGCCATCCCAGGCCACATAGTCACCATGGCATTTAATCTAGGGCCTGATGATGAGTGTGTGGCAGGTACAGAGCAGAGAGGGGTGGTGAGGGGTCTCCAGGTGGAGGAGCCACAGTGCGGGAGGCAGGCAGGCGCATGTAGGTTGGGAAGTGTGCGCATCTGGTAGGATGGCGGCCATAGCAGGGTGCTGGCTCCTGGTACCCCCATTGCCATCCTTAGGAGAGGAGCCTGTGTCCCACTCTATCCATCCTCCTGAGGTCTGGGGACAAGTGGCTGCCCTGGGCAGATGGGCTTGGGCTGTCCCTTCCTACTTTGCCCCCATTGCCACCTAGGTCCTTTTGGAATGTTCTTTCCTTCAGAAGTGTGAGGGGCTCTTAGGCAGGTTCTGAATGGCTGGGGGCTTTGAAACATTGTGGCGTTTGTGTGTGTGTGTGTGTGTGTGTGTGTGTGTGTGTGTGTGTGTGTGTACATGTTAACACATATCACTCTCACGGGAAGGGACTGGTATGCCAGCAGAGGGGCTGATCCAGCCTGCCGATCACTGGTAGCTGGGAGTGGTGCATCCCAGGCCTGGGAAGCCTCTGGAATTCAGCAGTCCCACTAGCAGGCTGCCTGCGGTCCCCAAGGAGGGAGTCTTAATTGGCCTCCTGGGGAGTGGGTGGGAGCTGCTGGAGGTGGGCAAATATTTGCAGATCAGGGTTCTCTTGAATACTTAAATGCTCCGATTTAGTTTAACAGCGTGTGAGAGAAAATAAGACCCGTTGGGTTTGGACCCTGGAGAGAAGTCAGCCATGTTGAACAAGCACCCTGCCTCCCTGTGGGTGTAGTAGCCTGTGGGGAGCAAGAAACCCAGAGCTCCCACTCGAGGTAGCCTCGTGCCACCTGCTTCCCTCCCTCCTGATGACTCACAGCACGTGCTCACCGCCTGTGCATCAGCCTTTCCCTCTGAAGGAAGCTGGCTCTTGCTTCCCAGCCTGTCCCAGCACCTGGAGCCACAAGGACTCTGCAATTGTTAATTAGAAGCAGGTCAGCTGGGGTTTCCCACAGCAAACGCCCTTCCAGCTCTGTGCCTGCATTGAGTCCTGAGTCCTTGTGGAATCAGACTTTGAATTGAGTCTGCAAGCTGGGCCTGGTGGCACAGATTGTAAACTCAGATACTCCCGACGGTGAATATGGTAAGTTCA